GGCAATTGCTAAGCAGGTAACGCGGTTGTTAAGTGAAACCTGGCTTCCCCCATTGGCTTTGATTGTTGGAAGGAAGCAACAGGGGAATCACTTGACCCCCAACATCAATATGAACCAGCTGCCAAGCATCCGAGTGTAAATCATGGGACCCTGGGGAGGCTGCAACGGTCATAAGTGTGAAAATGGTCATAAGTCACTTCCCTCCCCCCCCGTGCCATTGTAACTTTGAATGATCACTAAATGAATGGTTGTAAGTGGAAGACTATCTGTAAAATAAGGCTGCCAGCTCTTCTACAAACAGCCCCTCCTTTTCTTTGCCCCACCTGTTTGCAGGGAAAACTCTCCTTCTGCAAGCTCCCCCCTCCCTTCCTTTTTTTGGGGGGAGGGCAGGCTCTCCCTGCTCTCCCCCCCATACATATGTAAATTAGACCAGTCCCAGGAAAATGCACTGTCAAACCTGGCTGGGTTTTCACTACCAAAATAAAATTTCACTCTCTTTTTTGCTATTTTCTTGTAAATAAAAATGGGAAATAACAATAACAAAATAACAATAACAATAACAAAACAACAACAATAATAATAATCCACATCTGCCTATCCCAGGTCCTTGGGAAGACAAAAATGCCAAATCTAGTCTGAGCATCTGTCTGACTGTGCGATGAATAATAATAGTAGTAGTAGTAGTAGTAGTAGTAGTAGTAGTAGTAGTAATAATAATAATAATAATAATAATAATAATAATAATAATAATAATAATAATAATAATAATAATAATAATAATAATAATAATAATAATAATAATAATAGTTGGAAGGGGCCTTGGCGGTCTTCTAGTCCAACCCCCTGCTCAGGCAGGAAACCCTATACCATTTCGGACAAATGGCTGTCCAGTCTCTTCTTAAAAACTTCCAGTGTTGGAGCATTCACCGCTTCTGGAGGCAGGTTGTTCCATTGGTTAATTGTTCTCACTGTCAGGAAGTTTCTCCTTAGTTCTAGGTTGCTTCTCTACTTGGTTAGTTTCCACCCGTTGCTTCTTGTCCTGCCCTCAGGCGCTTTGGAGAATGGGTTGACCCTTTAGTCTTTGGGGCAGCCCCTGATTACAAAGGAAACATCCTTAAAAGAGGGTCGGCGAAGCGCCGCGAGGGAAGGCAGGCGTTTCCTTCTGGGATAGTTGCTTAGAGGGGCAAAGACCCAGCCCGGGACCCCTGTTTTCCCCCTCCCCATCTTTCTGCTTCCCCCCTCTCCAGGTGGCCAGTCCCCCCAAGAACTCACCGCAGCCGGCCCCCCTCAAGGAGGCCCCCAGCACGGCTCCCAGCAGCAAGAGCGGCGCCCGGGACCGCCGCATCGCCCCTCAGCCACGCGCGCCGTTTGCATCAGCAGCCGAAGACACCTGCGCATTCCCGCACAAAAACCTCAACCAAGGAGAGCCCCACCTTTGTTGCCGCCTGCCTGAAGCCTGGGAGATGCACGGGTGAAGTTCTCTATGACGTCCGCTAGTTGTCCGGGTTTAGCTCGCAGTCGATCAGGTTACAGCTGTTGTGCTGGGCTCCTCGCAGAGACGTGTCTCTTCCCCCCTCCCCTCCCCTCCCTCCCCCCGTGGCACCGACGGAAGGGCATGGTCGTCGCTTCTGGGTGCAGTTTGGTTCTCTCGGAGGACCATGGACGGTTAAGATTGCCTTTAACGGAGGGATTCTGTGCGTGGATAATGGGCCTTTTAGAGAGAAGATCCGAGATACTGTAAGTCCGTGTAGGTTTATCGGATAATGGCTTTTGGCAAGAGCCCCCAGTGGATCTGTCTCCTTTCCTTTCCTTTCCTTTCCCTTCCCCCATTCTACCTTTCTTTACTTTTCCCTCCTCTTACCCTCCCTCCATTCTATCTTTCTTTCTTTCTTTTTCTTCCCCCATTCTTCCTTTCCTTTTTTTTCATTCCCCTTGCCCTTCCCTATTCTTCTTTTCTTTTCCCTTTCCTTCTCTTTTCCCAATTCTTCCTTTCCTTTCCTTCTCTTTTCCCAATTCTTCCTTTCCTTTCCTTCCCCATTCCTCCTTTCCTTTCCCCTTTCCCTTCCCATTCCCCATTCTTCTTTTCTTTTCCCTTTCCTTTCTTTCCCTTCCCCCATTCTTCCTTCCTTTCCCTTTCCCTTCCCCCATTCTTTCTTCCTTTCCCTTCCCCCTCTTCCTTTCACTTCCTTTCCTTCCCCTTTCCCCATTCTTCCATTTCTTTCCTTTCCCCCCACTCTTCCTTTCCTTTCCTTTCCTTTCCCCTCTTACAGTCTTTTCTTTTCTTTTCTTTACTTTCCCTTATTTTTTATTTTTGCCTTCCTTCTGAGTTTAGCTGTTCCTTTCCTATTATTGCCCCAAAGCCAGAATCTCTCATGGGAGCTGGGAGAGCTTCACCTGAAGGTCTTTAGGGAAGGAGGGTTGTGTATTCACCACCATGAGGTCTAGCTGCTTCTCCTTAAATTAAATTGCAGGTTGTCTCTATGATATATATCTAATATAGAGAGTCTATATGAACAAACACTTCTGGGGCAGGGAATGAGAGTCAGAGAGAAGAGAAAGTGCGTCTATGTGTGTCTGCGAAGTCCTTTGCACAAGTGTGTGTACAACAAGAAAAGCAAATTATGTCAGACTGGATTGTTTCTTGTCCCTCAGGTGTGAGAAGCTGGAAAAAAGGTTCTTGGGCTGGGAGCTTAGACTGCCAGCCAGGGTTGTTCCTGGGGCTGCCCCTGGAGACTGTCTAGAGCAGGGCTTTTCAACCGGTGCTATGTATACCATTGGTGGTACTGACAGGTGGTAGGCGATCTAATCCTAGACAACTGTAGTGGGGGGGGGGAGAATGAGCTGAAGTGGCCGCAGCACCGCACAAGCCTGGGGGAAAGTTATTTTGGTAGCGAAAACCCAGCCAGGTTTGACAGGCATTTTCCTGGGACTGGTCCAATTTACATATGTAAGGGGGGGGGGGGAAGAGGGCAGGGAGAGCTGGGCAAAAAAAAGGAAGGGAGGGGGGAGCTTGCCGGAGGAGCGTTGTGGGACAGACAGGTGGGGCAAAGAAAAGGAGGGGCTGTTTGTAAAAGAGCTGGTGTTTTCCTGGGACTGGTCCAATTTACATATGTGAGAAGCTGCCGGAGCCCAGGCAGAAGGGAGGGGGGAGGTTGCCGGAGGAACTTTGTGGGGCAGACATGAGGGGCAAAGAAAAGGAGGGGCTGTTTGTTGAAGAGTTGGCAGCCTTATTTTACAGATAGTCTTCCACTTACAACCATTCATTTAGTGACCATTCAAAGTTAAAACTGCATGGAAAAAAAGTGACTTATGACCATTTTCACACGACCATTGCAGCCTCCCCAGGGTCACGCTATTTACACTCGGATGCTTGGCATATTTATGACGGGGTGTGTGTGTGTCAAGTGATTCCCCTGTTGCCTCCTTCCGACAATCAAAGCCAACGGGGGAAGCCACATTTCACTTAACAATGGCGTTACCAGCTTAGCGACTGCCTTGTGATTCCCTCAATTGCTGTGACAAGGAAGGTCATAAAAATGGGGCAACCCTCTTTTAGCAAATGCCTCAGTTCACAACAGGAATTCTGGGCTCCCTTGTGGGAGTAACTTGAGGACTACCTGTGTAATTTATTTTTTTAAAAAAAATTCCTGCCCAGAGCAATCTTCGATCCGTTTTTGCCCACCTCTTTGCTCTCCTGCATGGAATGGGACAAGGCTAATTTGGAGATCCAGAGTTATCAGAAAATAGATCTGTGTTTGGCAAGGGAGATCCTGATGGGAGCCAGGCACACAACCTGCTGGCTGGGAATCCCCAGGGCCCAGAGGAGCTGTGTGGGTACCTTAAGCAGATGTGGGTCTGTCCAGATGTTTTTACGTCTCCTTCTCAAAACTGATGAAGTCCATCCCATCGTAGCCATAGTAGTGGAAACAGCCTCCTTTGCTCCCATCTCCCCTGAGCTCACAGCCCAAAATCCCCTGTCAGGTAATGAAGCCCTGAAGGAGACCTAGTGGGGGTGGGTGAGAAAGACCCAGAATTCCTCTTTCTAGACGGCATTAAAAGTCTACCCTTCCCCTCTATTCTGGGGCGGGGAGAGAAAAACATGTGCGAAGACTCGGAGGCCTTTGCACCCCAAAAGCAGTGGGGGAGACGAGATCGGTGAGAAAAGCAAGAAATTTTCCTTCGGAAGGCAAGAAGTGAGAGAGATTTGAATCTGGTCCTGCCACAGATTGAGCGAAAGGAAGGGGGGGCGAGGTCATCCCCAAACTGAAAGAACACAAGCGGCCTCCCCCCTTTCTCCTCCCCCCCCCGTCACTTTTTAAAAAACTTCCTCCCACTCCCTCCAGGTGAAGGGAAAGAGCAAGAAGACAGAGACAACGAGGGTTGATGTGCGAGAGAGAGAGAGGGAGAGAGAGAGAGAGGGAGAGAGAGAGAGGGAGAGAGAGAGGGAGGGAGAGAGAGAGGGAGGGAGAGAGAGGGAGGGAGAGAGGGAGGGAGAGAGGGAAGGGAAGTGCAAGGGCCCCCCTCTCTCTCACACACACACACACACACACACACTGAGTGAGGGAAGAGGACTGGCAGACCAAGGGCAGGAGAGGACACACACACACACACACAGGCAGACCAAAGGCAGGAGAGGAGCGCAGGTGGAGAGCCAATAGAAGAAGGGGATGACAGAGAATGAGGTGGCTGGATGGAGTCACTGAAGCAGTAGGCGTGAGCTTAAATGGACTCCAGAAGATGGGACAGGACAGGAAGGCCTGGAGGAACATTGTCCATGGGGTCGGACACGACTTCGCAACTAACAACAACAAATTACTCTCAGTTTTAAGAAACTGATTACTAAACCCTTTGCAAGTAATATTTTAGTCCTACTAATTTCAACATCACCAGTCCAGTGATAACAAAGGTTGGGCATATTGTTCACTATAATCAGTATCACTGAAAAAAAAGGAAAAATAAACATCCACACTGAATCAATAATAATAAATTACTTTAGTTGAATGGATAACATTTATCATTTGACAACATACATTCTGTGCACTCAGTAGGATACACCCTACATTTTTAAAGGAGACGACGATGCCTTTGTTTTTATTTTTCAGGGAACAACATGTGTTGCTTTCCTTAGTGTAAGGTAGCCCAAAACAACATCTGAAGGAAGCATTCGGACGTAGGCAAACTCCTCTGTTGTACTAAATCTCAGTTTGCTCTGAGGATCAGTGTAGTCTGCCTGTAAGAAAAGCACAAATGGCACATTTTTTAAAAAACAGCGAAAATCAACACTGTATGGCAAACATGAGGTGGCCATTTAGTTTTCCATCCGCGTTTTCCTAATAATAAAAGTTCAAATTTTAAAATCCATTCTGAAATGGATTTTCTATTTAACTAAGTCCCACCTGCTAATAATGGTTATCAATACCTGACAAAAGAGCATAGCAATAGGATAATAGTATAAATATGAGACTTGCCACAGAATCATTAATATCTGAAGGAATCATGGAGGTCATTTAGATCAACCTTTCTGGGCTGGCGGCCCAATGGGAAAGGGAGGGACAGGCAACTTTAGTGCGCATGCGTGCGAAGGGGGCCATGTGCGCATGCGCGTGGAGGGCGTGAGCATGCGTGTGAAGGCCGTGAGTATGTGCGCAGATGGGGCCGTGAGCATGCGCATTCCGCAAATGGGGCTGCTAATGCGGCTCAACTAACACCGGTGAGAGGCTCGCAGCTCGGCTAGTACCAATGCAAGGGCAGGGGGTGAGCACGCGGACGTGCGCTTGTACACCGGCCAGCCACTCACGCAGCCCGGTGGCCAAGAGGCTACAGCCCGGTAGTGGGCTGCGGTCCATAGGTTGGGGACCTCTGCGCTACATCAGTTGAAAATGAAGCCTGCCATAGAAAATCCTGCCAAATGTTTGGTCCCTAAACATTACGCAGTGTGCGATGAATCGCAGCTGCCAGAAAGTTTTTTCGCACCCAGAAAATCGTATTGCTGCACACACTTCACATTGGGTGGGATTTTCTATGGCAGGCTTTATTTTTAATTGATCTAGCAGACAAGTCAGCTGCAACACAGCTTTCTCCTTCCACTCCTCACTGCCTACTGAACTACTACGCCCGGCGCCATAGGACAGGCGTCACTCTCCCCCCGCCTATTTCTCACACATGCTCAAGCAGAGGTTTATTTCCAAACTGCCCTCGTATGCAGCCTGTAATGCTATAGGAATTTCTGATGCCGCATCCTTCACCTTTATTGAGCTAACAGCACATCATCTATAGTAGTAAAAATTATAGAATCTCCAATTTTTAAAGCACTGGTCAGCTCTGCTGGGTCTCACAAATGTTCTGTGTAAATCAATAATACGCGCTTTCAGTCTCTCCACTATGGTATACAATAATGTCCAAAATTGTGGAAACCTTTTGGGAAAAGTGTATAGTAGAAATGCCACCTTTGGTTAAGTTTCCACCCATTTTTCTTCTAATTTCTTTATAACTGTAGCCTTGTTCACTTAATAATACTATTTTACATCGCTTTCTGGGCGACCGGTCAACTCTTTGCACCATTACTTTAATTTTATTACATTTTACCAGCTCACTAAATGAAAGAACACAAAAAAACCCAACCCACTTGATAGCGATCCTATAACACAATGACAAATGTCCTCCTCTCAGCTTCAATACATGACATCAATAACTGAATCTTACTGTGATCTGCTTGGCTCATTGCCAAAACAAGATGACACCTGATTGGCTCTCTAAACACTCATGCTCATTGGCTACAACCAGATGAAGGAAAGCTATCTGATATCAACCTAAGAAAGTTGTGCTTCCTTTTTCTGGTTATTTGGCTATAACTTTTCATAAAATACAGTACAAATAATTGAACAAACTATGTTGCATTACATCCTTGATTAAATTATATTTCCATTGGTACTACTCCCAAAAAAAGTGTTATTAGCCATCAAACCTCAAAAATACTTTTCCCAAAAGGTTTCCACAATTTTGGCCACTACTGTAGGTGCAGTATGAAAGCAACAGACTGATGTGATGGACAGGGCAACTGTCTTTCAGAGGAGATGTCTACTTTTTTAATTTATCATTAAGGGGGTTCCCATAAGCCTAAGACTGAAAATCAGGCTTGTCAGATGCTATATTTTTTCTATCCTGCTCTATGGAGTAGAGAGTTGGTCTCTGACAGAAGGCCACCTGAAGAGACTAGAAGCATTTGAAATGTGGATCTACAGGCGGCTGTTATGTATAAGCTGGGTTGACGAGATGAGAAACGAGGTGGTGATCAGCCGCCTGGGAAAGCCAAGGGAAATCATCAAAACAATTAAAAAACGAAAATTAGAATATTTCGGACAGGTGATGCGACACCCAGAAAAATACGGCATACTCCATTTAATCCTCCAGGGAAAGATTGAAGGCAAATGAGGTCCAGGCAGAAGAAGAACATAGTGGCTTCAAAATCTAAGGGACTGGTTTGGACAAAACTCAGCAGCACTTTTTCGTGCAGCTGCTGATAAAAACAGGATCGCCGACATGATCGCCAACGTCCGATAACGGATATGGCACAACAACAACAAGAAGAACAAGTTTTCCAGATAAAAGTGTAAGAAAAACTGTTGAACAATGCTAAGCTGCTAAACAGCAGTGCAGGTATTTAGACCAGTGCAGAGGGAAGTTTAATTCTAAAAATACTTACCGGAAGTCCTGAAATATCAGAATATTTTTTGACTGGTTTAAATGAAGGAAGAGCATCAATACTGAAGTCTGGGGAAAGAGACATTAAAATGAAATTAACAAACCTGGCTGGCCTCCAATTCTGTCTGTATACACTGAAACTTTTAATCTAGTGCCATCACTTTTTCCAATCAGACAGTATCCTGGCCAAACAACGACGCGTAATTAGATTCTAATGCTAAGTACCTCCTATTGAAATGTGAAAGTATTCATTTAAATTAAATTGTAAAGTACCAGTTAAGTACCAACTCAAATTACAGTATGTTCAAATCATGGAATCTGATTCTTCTTAACAAGTCATTTCCAACCAGAGCATGCCTCTTCTGAAGATTACTCAGAATTAAAAAAAGTTCAACTAAAATATATACCTTATAAAATATACAGTACCAAATGCAAGGCATCAATAGGCTGATTAATAGAGAGGATTTAAAAAAACTAATACTACATACATTTCTTCCAAGAAATTAAAACCATCCAAATGAGGACAAAAACAAACTTTGGCAAAAGGAATGTAAAGCACTTAGAAAAAGATAAAAAAAAGTGGTGTATTTCACAGACTGACGGGGGCCACTGCTTCAAAATCAAGTCTTCCATTGAAAAATATCACTGTAGCCAGATGAATATTGGCATTTTCTACTCACTCTCTAAAACTGCATTATGATAATCTTAGGCGACCCCTGTGAAAGGGTTGTTCGACCCCCAAAGGGGTCGCGACCCACAGGTTGAGAACTGCTGAGATAATTGCTACTTTAATTGGTAATTATTATAATCTGAAGCAGATGATTCGGTACTTTTCATAATCAGAGAGGGCCAATTTATTTCACTAAGAAATTTCTATCACAATCTTTTCACAGAAAAGCAACAATTTCAGCAGTTTTGAGAAAGATGTGACGATCGTTTTTTTGAAATTAGAAGAAATCAAAGCAATTAAAGACCTTATCGGAAGTCTTATCTGGCAAAACGGATGGCGATAATTAAGTATAATCACAGGAATTTATTATGATAATATCCTTCAGAATAAAATGGGAATCTTATTTTTGGATAGGTCAGATTGTGTTGTTATTACAATTGTTTAACAGCAGAGTTCCTTTGGTCCTAAACAAACAAAAAAACCCCAACCCCGCTAGTTCCTGCGGCCCCATTTGCACTTGCATGTGGGCTCAAATGGGGCCACTAGTACCAGGCAGGTGTGAGGCCCGTTTGCGCATCCGCGAATGGGGCCACTAGCACCGGATGGGTTGCGCGACCCATTTGCGCATGTGCGAACGGGGCTGCTAGCCACCATGGGGTGCGCGCGGCTGTTTGCGCATGCGCACGGCACCAGCACCTGCCACACATGAACGGGGCCACTAGTGCCGTACCAGTGCATGTGGTCCTGATTGCGTGCGTCCCTTCCAACATCATCATCATTATTATTGTTGTTGTTATATTATTATTATTATTGATCATCGCAGTCAGCCAGATGTTCAGACTGGATTTGGCATTTTTGTCTACCTACCGAGTCCTTCCCAAGGACCTGGGATAGGCAGATGTGGACATTTGATGGTATTACAGATATCGTCGCAGGATGGAAGGAGTTCCTAGTAAGGCCGCCTTTTGCAATTGACTAAGGGCAAATTTGTCAATGCCAATGGTGTTCAAGTGGTGCTCCAGTTATTTTGGGATTATTATTATTATTATTGTTATTATTATTATTATTATATTATACTGTAACCACAAAGGCCTCTGCACTTTTCTTCAGATGCATTTGGTACCTTCTTTTTTACGTTTAAACCATTTCTAAGTTATTAGATATACTCCTTTTAAAAACAGTTCTGTGGTACTGGTAATTTTTATCTTTTGAAATGATGGCTGTAAGTGTTCTTCCATATTTCAATGTATTTTAATTGTCTTTTTTTTTTAGGAGATGGAAATTTATTTGCGAAGTAAGCAAATACGCAAAAGGCACAGAACATACTCCACGTCGCTCTAATTATGTTTCTGTTCGTGCTGAGTAAATATCCCCCTGAATTTCCTTGGCTGAAATCTACTTGGTCAGAAATATATCTCACAGCGTGAAAAGAATTTTGAAGTATTTTCCAGAAAGCTGTTATTTATAAATACGTAGGGGGAAAATATCTAAAGAGCTTACAGCTTGGATCGTTTAATTGCCACGGCAGTGTTCTTTCTGAAGAAAGGATTTGCTTCAGATTCTTCCATGTTCTATTTTTCTTGCCAGCTGCTGCTCCTCCAGTTCCAGAATGCTGGAAAAGGGTAAAGTATGTTTAACAAGGATACTGACACTCTTGAAATAGCTCTTGTTGCAGCACTTATTAAAACAGGTTAATCTAGGAGAGAAGCAACCTGGAATTAAGGAGAAACTTCCTAACAGCGAGGACAATTAACCAGTGGAACAGAAGTTAATAATAATAATAATAATAATGATAAAGTTGGAAGGGACCTTGGAGGTCATCTAGTCCAACCCCCTGCTCAGGCAGGAAACCCTATACCATTTCGGACAAATGGCTGTCCAATCTCTTCTTAAAAACTTCCAGTGTTGGAGCATTCACCGCTTCTGGAGGCAGGTTGTTCCACTGGTTAATTGTTCTAACTGTCAGGAAGTTTCTCCTTAGTTCTAGGTTGCTTCTCTCCTTGATTAGTTTTCACCCGTTGCTTCTTGTCCTGCCTTCAGGCGCCTTGGAAAATAGCTTGACTCCCTCTTCTTTGGGGCAGCCCCTGAGATATTGGAACACTGCTATCATGTCCCCCCTCGTCCTTCTCTTCGTTAAACTAGACATACCCAATTCCCGCAACCGTTCCTTATATGCTTTAGCCTCCAGTCCCCTAATCATCTTTGTTGCTCTTCTCTGTACTCTTTCTAGAGTCTCAACATCTTTTTTACATCGTGGTGACCAAAACTGGATGCAGTATTCCAAGTGTGGCCTTACCAAGGCATTGTAAAGTGGTATTAACACTTCATGTGATCTTGATTCTATCCCTCTGTTAAT